GCCGGAGAATACGATAGAAAGAGACAGTACCTATATACCTGGAGAGGCCAGGTAATAAGAAGGCCAGCCTAGAAACGTCTGTTTCGCCTCTACAGGAAGGGAAGAACGATCGAAAGTCCTTACGATAACGACTGGTGAAGAAGAAGTATCCACTTTAGCATAATCGGAACTAGGGATCGTTAGACAGATCGGTCGAAAGATTTTTAAATAATTACTAATAAAATATACATAGACTTGCAAGGATAAGCTTTCTTCACGAATACACTATCCTATCAAAGAAACGCACGTCCGATGGACGGGTCGAATTGAGTTTAGAGATGAATTTGAGAGTCAAATAAAAATCGGTGATGAAATCATGAGACGAATCGGAAACAGTGATGAAATCGGGGCTCAAATTAAAATTACCGATGAAATAGTGGGGTCTTCGCGCATCATTTCGCGTCTCGCGCCGGTTATTCTTTTGTCACCACGAGCGCGTTCGTCGTTGGGCGTAGACGAGACGCCGCCCGGCGCCGGATAATAAAGGCATCGCGTGCGCATAATTATCTGACGTACTTTCCTGGAATTAATTTCGAGCTTCCATGAAACAGCGTTTCGTTTTTCTTCGCCCGATGGCTCGCGTCCGTGACGGCCGGTTATTTAAAGGCCCAGGGGGCGGAAGAAGGCAGAACTTCGTCGTCGTCGACAACGACGAAAGGAAGGTAAAAGAAACGAATCGCGACGCGGGAATTCGAAGCTTTTTTTTCTACTCAGGGGACCTCGTGTGGCTCCTGTGGAATGCTCACGAGGCGGAATTTCTCGGGGAATTCGACGGCTGCGCAAGAACGAACCTTCGGACTCGAGAGAGATCGTACGGGGGTCACTTCGTCGTCGTTGATACAATCGGATCTAGAAGAGGGGGAAAAAACGAATTTTCAAGCTGGCCACGCTGGAAGAAGGGTGAGTCGCGTGCACGCACTCGTGCGTGTGAAAACACACTTTCCCGATGGAGCGCACACATGGTGAAACTGTTTCTCATAGTGCGTGCACGCTTAATCATCGGCTCGCGCGTGCACCTATGAATCGACCCCGACTTTCCGTTCGTTTCCATGTACGCGAGGCCTACAGATTTTGGAGAACCCCAAACGATCGGATGTTTTTCCATTTATAACATGTTTTGATCCCCTTTAACGGTGTTCGATGAGTATACTTGTCGTGTAAAAAATAATATTAAACCAATTTCCATCGTCAAAGGGTTAACCCTTTAACTACAGGCGGCTCGATACGCGGATTTAACGACTATTTTGTAGGCATGTTTAATAAGAAACCGAATGGTATTGTTCGTTACTGTTATCGAAATAGTATGCAGTATTTACTGTCAATGGAAGGTATACCCTCAAAGGCTAGAGCTTTCGAAATGCTCCGCTATGTTTGTGACTTTGAGATCATCATAAATTACATCAATACAAGGAACGTTGAAGTATTATTATTATTATTATTATTATTATTATTATTATTATTTTTATCATTAGTCTTTAATGATCACAAAAAGATCGCGTCGTTTCTGTCAGTTTCACGAATTCACGATTCCGGGTGGAACAAGGAACAACTAATTCCCATCCGTCTTTCCGTATCAAGAAATCGGCGGAACGGCGAGCGAGGCGAGGCGCAAACAACGAGTTTTATTGCTTCGAGTAGAGCGAGCTCGGGGATTCCGGAAGATATCACAATAAACGAGACACATTTCCTGGAGACGAAATACTCGAAATATTGCACGCGTTAAGGGCGCTCGAGAGCGTCGAAATAGCGCCGGTTATTGTTGACAGAACGAGGTGGAAGGGAGGGGAGGGAAGAGAGAAACCGATCGACGACAGTGTCGAGTACAAAAGGGGAATGCACAGACATGGCGGAAAACGAGGAAAACGGATCGGGGAACCGCGAGATCATTAAAGTTAGGATTAAGTTCACAGTCTGGCTGACATGTCACGTCCCCTCCCCTCCCACTACTCCGCGTGCACGCTCTTCGAGTTTCCTTTGTTTGCCACGAAATTCCGTGAATTTGGCGAAACCGCACCTCGACCTTAATCGGGGAAAAGGGGAAAGATCTTGCGCCAGGGAACACCCTTTATGCTCTCGTAACTGATTGACTCCGTAATCTGCATGGGGAAATAATGATACACAGGCTGCTCAAAAGTCTCGATTTTATGCGTATTATCGAATTCAATCTTTGAGATTAAACGATTAACACGTTCGCTACAGTCTTATTTCGAAAAAGTTCGTCACAGGGCACTGTAGGTCTCCATCATTTTCCTCGGTGGAATGTTCTTACCTTCTTGGTCCGATTGCAAAATGATACATGGAAATGGGACTGTCATACATGGGTGACACCTGGTTGCGAACGTGTTAAAAACATATTTCACAGCAGCGTAACTCATGAGGTTGACCCCCATTCATAGTTCATGCATCATACCATCATTGCATAGTTTATTACTGTTATTATCAACAACAACAAAAAACAATCAAAATCGTACCGTTAGGATGAGACAAAAGAAATCGCGACATGAGAAAAACACCCATAGTGCACACAAGTATCGGACCAAGGAACATCCAAAGAATTGAAAACAATATCTCGGGGGCCTTTAAATCGTTCAAAGAGTAAACTAAAGAAGAGGGATAAAATCTTCGGGTTACTAGAAACGACGATGAAAAAAAACGGTCGGTTCAGAATCAATAAAGGCACTCCCCTCGACCCCGCCGTTCCAACCGCGAATCGAAATAAAACGAGCCGCGACGTCGCCGAGTAGCGGTGCCACGTCGTCGTCTTCGTTCCTCCATCGTCGAAACACGAGAAAGGAAAGGGGTTGCTCGTCGACAGCGGCATCGTTTGCGGTGGCTACTTTCATTATCTTTCTCCAGGCACGCGGTTTCAGACACTCGACGCGTGGAGTTTCTTGTTCCACCCTGAACCGTGAATTAATTGCTCGACCCGTTGAAAAAAAATTGGCGATGGAGTGCAGAGCATTTGTTTTCTATGTCTTAATCAAATTTGTCAACGATAGAAAATTCTGCATTTAAGGGTAGTTTCTTACAAGATTGGTTGTATTTTTCGGAAATGTAGCGATAACTGGGGATTCAATTTCCAACGTCAACGAAGTTACACGATCGAAGAAACATGCGAGTGTGCCAAGATCGAGGAAAGAAAGAAGGGAAAAGGGGGTTGGGGTAGGTGGGAAGAGAGCCGACAAAGCATAGAAAGTCACGAGACGCTGGCTCGAGAGGCTCGCCCCGCTGCGACTCGGGACAAAAGAGGTCTGCATCGTTCGGTTTTGCCTCTTCTGAACGCGAAAACGTAACGAGCCACTTGACCACGTTGCATATTCCAGCCAGTGCCTCCCCCCCCCGCCCTGTTGTTACGTAAAATCCTGTCTCCGTTCGCGAGGAGAGGATCTCCGCTAATTAAAAGCGACTTAATTGTCATTTTTCGGCTGGGTTGCTTGCCCCGACTACCCCCCGCCCGTTTAGAGTTTAATTCCCTGACACTTCTGAAGGCAATAATCTCGATCATCGAGCTTCGATTTCCCGTTTTATTCCCAGAATTCTGGAACCTCGATTCCAGATTCACCGTGTGAGAACGTATTAATACTGGACCACCGAAAATGAACGTGTTTCTATCACGTTGGTAAAAGGAACATCTTGTTGAAAATATCGATAAATTAACGGACTACTTCTTCACTTGTATACCGTAATAAAAGTAGCGAAGAAAAAGAAAAGACATGAAAGCACTGATGCAGTGTTAATAATTGTTATACAAATTTACGAACTGTCATTATTGACCAATGGACTGGAAACGATTTTGACTGTTTTGGTAGATCTGGTGTTAATCAAGACGCGAAACATCACAGAGTTTCTTTTCTCTCGCATAATTAATCGCGCGCTGTGACGAGCACGAATTCAGAGCGTTGACGGTCCCATAATTTTCGGCGACGACGTTAAAACCGCTCGTTACCCCAGATCAGTAATTACGGGACACGGGATTATCGCGCGAGTTATTGCTGATAATTACAGTAATATTCCGAGCCGATTACGCGAACGTCTATGTTCCCGAACCCTCCCAGTTACGCGTATGGCAAAACTGTCGAGAGTCGATGCTGGAAAAGTATCGAGTCTTCGGGAACCTCTATAACCGAATATTTTAATTAACTTTCCCGTTTACGTCGGTCAATTTGCATTCCAGGATCATTCTCGCTGTATCGAGGAGCTTTACCCGCGGTTTCCTTGGGGGCGACGAAGGCGTGGCCTGACGAGCGCGAGAGAACGAGGAAACGACAGGAATGACGGAATAATTTCTTCATTGTCCTCGGGCAGCACGCTGAATTCCAGATTTATTAGCGGCGCTCGTCGAGGCGGATCAGAGAGAGACGATTTAATACTCGGGCGATTTAGATTTTAACCTAGTTCCGGGAGAACTACAACGCGCGTGGTCTCCTTTAGAAACAATCTTAGCCCATTAAAAGTGGTAATAAAATTACAACGTTATTATCATTTCGGTAATCTTTAAATAAGAAATCCGTTATTTTGACTGGTTTGGTAGTTCTGGTGTTAACACTAACCGTACCGAGACTTTTATATACCTAGTTGTACCGTATTTAAAACTGGTCATTTGACCGACGGTCGGTACGGTTAGTGTTAATGGGTTAAATAACCTTCATGTATGTCGTAAAAATTTCTGTTACTTAATTCTCCGTTGAGATGAGGCTTCACGAACAATGCATGTTTCCTCATTACGAGACACAGGCACCTGAATGCCTACTCTTCTTTTCATCTGCAGCTCTGAACGTGACTTGTACGATCCAAGTACATATACGAAACGCGACAAGAACTTGTCGACAGATCCGAATTCATCGAATGAATCTCGATCCTCGTCGAGTAGGCAGCGTTAGTACGCGTCGAACGTGACAATCGCGAGAAACTTGTGTCGTGAATTAGGCGTTAGAGGCGGCATACCGCGAATAATGACTCACCTCGCGAAGCTCCTTGATCTTTAGGCCTCCTTTGCCGATGATGCATCCAGCTTGGCTCTGATGCACCAACATGCGCACGTCGATCTCATCGCTGCCGTGTCGGGATCCATTCTGAAAGCATTTCGTACCCGTTTAACACGGTGTCATCATCGGGTAAGTCTGACTAATTCTTCGAACGTCTCTCTGACCACTAGAGTGTTCGTTCGTTAAATTACAGGCAATTCTGAAACCGGAGCAGTTCGTAAAACAGACACGGGTGATCGAGGAATGAATTCCAACTTCTCGATTAACACCCACGAGCTTTACGAAACGCTCGGTGGTTATATTATCTAAGAGAATCGGTGATTCTCCCCCCTGTTCGCTATATATACACCCAGTGGCGAGAACATTAGAGTCATATTTCATCAGATCACCTAGTTCTGTACCTCTGATGGCATTCAATTATCTTGACACGGTTTTCTACGAATTTTTCGGCAGGAATACCACGAAAAAAGCAATTCTTAATGAAAATAATTATGGACCTTTCAACCCGTTCGAACTATTCCGCACGTTACTTTCAAATACAAGTTGCCACATACGATCTACCGTGCTCGGCTACTCGACTCTATGATCTCAGTATCTCTATGAACTCGTGTGATCTCCTCTTCTGGTAACAACACTCACCTCCTCGAGATTAGGTACGACCTCGTTCAACACCTGAAGAACGGTGGTCAGATCCGAGCTGATGGTAAGCACCCTAGAATCAGAAAGACTCCAACAATTACTCGGCTCTTCGACCGGTTCGCGGCGATTATGTGCTACACAGGCTTGCTCCAATTCTCTCGGTTCATTTTTTTTTCGGTTTGTTCTAACTTAGTCCCAGGGGAGTGTCCTCTTCTTCGTGGAAAAATTCAAACCGCGAACTCCCGTTCGCCTGGCACCTGGAGGAACCTGACGCGAGTTGGCGGATAGACGATCGATCGTTTCTGCTCGCATCACAAAGTTCGCGTACACTCGAGATCGAATGATTGATTTTTTTTTGTTTTTTTTTTCTCATGATCGATATTCTCTCCCCATTGAGCAAACGATCAGATTTAGCACAAACTCGCGCCATTCCAGTTTAAACGGAACACGATCGGCTGCCTGTCGCTCTCCCCCGAATGAAATGTAGACCAAGGACTACCGACGATGGAAAATATCGCTTCGAGAGCCACGGGGGGGGGAAAACTTCTCCTGGTGCCTCTACACACGAAGATAAACACGAAACTTTTTGAAACGATGCACCAGGCCACAAATCAACTCTCTCGGCGGTGGTCCTCCGTCTGCGTCTTTCTTTTTCCTTTTACAAAAGACGTGTTCAGTTTCTGAGTGTACTATTCGGTGGAAGAGGACATGTTGCGATCGTGCTTGGTTAACTAGAAGTCTCCCAGTATTATCTTTACAATCCAACACTATGTCGTTTCCACCCAGTTGTAACAGATAACACATAGCAGTGATCGATAATTCGAGCACGAGTGAGCCACGATAAGGAACAAGAAGCTGCCGAAACGAGCATCCAAAAATCTCACGCCAGGCTCCCGTCTTTCTCTATTCTTGTTTTTTTCACAGATCATATTTCCCACTCGAAGCGAATAGCGAGAATCGTATAGGACTGTACGTATTCACTGATCGCACGATTCAATTAATCGTCGACGACTTCTGTACTCTGACTTCGAGAGTGCTCGAGTGAGGAAATAGGATCCAACCCCCCCCCCCAACCCGCCTCTTCTTTCCATTTCCAATAAATTTCCGAGCAATTTGTAACTTCTCGTGAAGTTCACAGCCGTTAGGAGACTTCCCCGTTAACATCGAGCACTCTTTCGTCTCTCCGTCGTCATCGCCCGTTTTTTCACGATCTCCTTTTCTCGATCGATCGAGAAAGAGTCTCTTTCTCTCTGTTGGCGACCAATTCTCACTCTCGCAAGACGGTCATCGCGCGTTTCTGTTATTGGTTAATGTTAACCCTCAATTGACAGCGCGGGGATCGTTAAAACAGTGACCAAGTGGTGTAACTACACACGTTTCTATCCACCTGAAACCTCGTGTGCTCGATCCTCGGGAATAACACATATTCAAATATGCCACCGACTGTACGAAAGAAAGCTAAAATCGCTCGCGAACAATAGGTCGAATTTTATTGTCTGCTAGCTATCCATTGGCGGTTAATCAATGGGTTAACACAAAAAAAAAAGGTACAGTATTTTGGTTAGAGAAAACCGTTGGTTCTCGGTCTTCCGGGAATAGCCCCCACTTCACCCGTACACCAATTGAGGGTTAATCATGGATTTCTCCTGGTAGATACACGATGATGATTGCGCGATATTCGTCGGAATCGTGCCCGACGATATGGAACGGTTTGTTAATCGACGACGTCTAAACCGTAAAAGCGGCCATCACCAACTAATAAGTCCTCCCTACAATTTCCCAGTTTTTAGGAGTGACAGACACGCACATACACACACACAAGCTGAAACGAAAACGCGAGAGTCGCGCGTGTTTTGCTGGACGAACTAACGGAGGGTCGAAAGTCATCGCCTAGGCGAACGAAGTTGCGAACGATCGGGCGCTTTCCACGGAACAAAGAGAGGAAAACAAGGGAAGGAAGGAAAAGACAAACAAGTGTTACGTTCATTATATACTGGATAAGGGTCGGACGCAAGAAGGTTTCACTTGGACAGGGATGATCGTAGACGGACACGTGTTCGACTATCTGTGACGCGGCGGGTCGATCGTGGCTGAGGAATTGAAAATTATATCGAAGGAAGACCTGACAAGATCCATTTACCGATGTGGTAGAAAAATGGGAAAGGTGTCTCCCCTCTTTTTGGGCCAGGTGCGGACGGTCGTTAGTCGACGACGACAGGCCCAATCGGATCTACCTTCTTCTCCCAACGATCTTTCATGGGGGGGGGGGGGGGGTGGAAAGGGGGTGAGCAGGAACACGTTGGAGATTGGTGGAAATTCCTCGTGTCACACGCATTCTCCCCGTTTAAATCGATCGAATTATTCGAAAATTACCGTAAATTTCAAAGAGGAGACCGCGAGCGCGTCCGCGATACGGAAGTTTCCAGCGAAAACTTCCCCTGTTAAATTCTCGGAAACGTCGGCTCGCCTCGCGAATAGAAATCGCATTAAGGCCAACCCCCCGCCCGAGGACTTTTATAGTCGGCGATAAAAAAAAATTTACTGCCGCGGCACGTGACATATCCCCCTGAACGAAGATAAATTTCTTGTTAGCATCCTGTACCCTCACTCCCCTCCAACGATAGGGATGAGAGCCACGTATATATCGGTCGACAGATATTCTAATTGTGTCGATTTCGAATTACCCCTTCCAGTGTATCATTTCATTTCGAAAACGTGCATTTGCGTCTTTAATTCTAATTTCACCCTTTCGCTGCTGGAAGAACCGATCGATCGATGGGGACAGGCTCGATCGCCCTACAACGATCAACAGGATCTCACGATAATCTCCAACGACCAACAGGATCGTTAGTCATTTTTGGGCCTTAGCAACGAATATATACTTTTTCTCTGAACGACATCGAGAGACGCAAGAACACGTCGTGACACACACGCGACATACAAGAGGACGGGTAATGACTTTCGACTTGCGGAAAACAATAATATACGTTAATCACGTCGGCAGCTCACACTGCCGGGTGGATGATCAGTGTGTGGGGATCTCCGTTGACCGGGGCGTACCTAGAAAGTATAAGCGTGTGATAATATCGACGTTAAGCGTGGAATCGGCAGGCTCCCGCCGCCTCGTTCCACGGATTAGCATCCGTGTTAGCCACAACAAAATTAGAGAGAGAGAGACACAACTTTTGGTGTACATACTTCCGCCGACATATATATATATATATATATTTATATATTAATATATGCGTGAGTGTGGTTTTTCTGCGAGTGTGTAGGTGCCGGGAGGTGTCGTCCGCGCGCGAGACGATCCATAAGAAGAAACAGGGAAAAAACAGAGACAGACAGACAGACGGACGGACAGACAGACAGCCATAGAAATGAAATTGCTCGAAAGAGAGACGGAGACAGAAAACGATGAAAGGTTGAAAGGAGTTGATTAGGTGAACAGGAGGTAAGTACTGTGGAGAGATCGTATGTTATCGAGTACCTACAGACTCCAGTTATCGTTTTATCTCACTCAATCTGGACGTGTTTCCTTCACAATAGACTTATGGTTGTGATCGGCTTAGCCAATAATAATGGCAATTCGTGTGGTGGTCCAGCTAATTTAATTCGTCGTCAATTTACGATCTCAGCACAGTATACGAGGCGCGTGTCGGGAACATATTCAGGCCTGTGTTTACGTAGACTTAACGAAATCATGGACGAACGGTTGGGTAGAGAATGGAGGATGACTCTGTGTGTTCTCGTGCCTTCGAAACTTGCGTTAGCGAATTACTCGCGGAAATAATACCGATGGAATAGCTCATTTAATAACAACAATCGCGTTCTCTATTGCACAGTAATACTAGACGGAGGTTCGACATTGCTGTCGTAACACCAAACTCTAGGCACGGCGAAGACACACGCTTCAAATGGAAAAATAAACGTGACCATGTTCTGATGCCCAAGTCTCGCCTGAGAGGCTCCTCGCCTTGAACTCGGAAAAAGGGTACCACGAGAACCACGTTCGTCGACTTTCTTGCGTTTGGATCACTGCAGATAGTCCTGGAGAAGTGTCGGACCCGAGTGTTACTGCGGAAGTACAATTAGAAAAGAGTTTCGCCCTGTGAGCAAGGAAAGTTTCCAAGAGAAATAGAATTTTCTTCGCTTAACGCTCGAGGGAAGAGGCAACAGGGACTGGGCTGTTAAGGATTCGCCCAACACCCGCCGCCCACGGACAAAGCTAAACCTACGGTATTAAGAAAAACTGAAACGAACCTCGTCGGAATTCTAAACTTTCGAAAATCAAAGCAGAAAGAATATAACCATCAATCTCTGACGGTTGTTCTCTCTGCAAGCTTGTAAACTGTGAAAAACTACTTTCCCGGCCCTTGTCTATCTCTCTGGTATTCTTCATCACACTATAGGCTTCGAAGGTCGTCTCATTCAGAATCTCCGGCTGTGATTCGGCCGCGGGAGCAATCTCCAACAGAGCGGGTCATTCGTCATAATCATTCTTCAAGACACCCATCTCCTCGGGGGACCTAGACCGTCTCCTTTATCCAGGACTGAGCGTTCACCGATTCTGTATCCCCCGCAGCACGCAATCCTTTTCGCAAGAGTTTCTAGAAATTGTGACGACAGATAGAGAGAGACAAAAGAACAGACCTCGTGAACCATCTATTCAATTTGTAGCGGCGATGAAAGTTGTCGATGTATCGCTGGATGTAGCGGGGAACAAGAAGAAAGAGACAGATGGCAGCGATCCAGGTGAAGGAGAGAGAGAGTGATCTCTGACCGAAATAAAAAGTGTAGGGTCTGCGGGGGAGAGACAGAGTCACCAGAGAGCGACAGCAGAGGGCATGCAACCGCGTGGCGGGCAGGTGTAGTCACGAACAACAACACACACAGCAGACATTGGTTCTTCAGAAATATTACTGCCTTCAGGATATCAAAGCTCGTTCGTTCGGTGCGCGGTACGGGTTCTCTCGTTGAATCATCGCGAAACCATGTTGTGAAGGCCGGTGGTCCGAGGACACGTATACAACACACAGGGTTGAAAGAGGCTTGCGAGAGACGACGACGACGAACACACACAGAGCCGATTAAGACAAGGCTGAGGCAGGCAGACACAGGTACAAAAAGTGAAAGTGAAACAGAGATAGATAGATAGATAGATAGATAGATAGATAGATAGATAGATAGATAGATAGATAGATAGATAGATAGATAGATAGATAGATAGACAGACAGACAGACAGACAGATAGATAGATAGAAAGACAGGCGGTATACTAAATAATATATAGAGAAAGTAAGTAAATGATGAAAAAATAGACAGAGATTAAGAGAATAACATAGAGACAGAGAAAAAAATCAGAAAGGTCGCTGTCGTTCGGTTAAAAAGAAACGGCAGAGCGATCCGTAATTTTACATTATTCGGCGGCATTTTGCAAGGTATTCTTGTAATTAGAGACAAAGAAAAATAAGACATTAAGTAGTGGTGTTTGGTCATTACCGTTCGGGTCCGGGGCAATCGGGTACAATGATTGAGGCTTTGTACTGTCGGGCCGTGGTGGTTGGTGGTTGGTTCATTGGTGGTTGGTTGGTGGTTGTTGTCGATTGTTGGTAGGGCGGTCCATTTGCCGATCGAGTCAGGGTCCGTCGTTCCGGGCAGGGCAACGGCAGGGCAACGGCAGGGCAACGGCAGGGCAACACACACCAGGGGGGCACAACGCCGGGGTTGGGGCGGGGCCAGGGCACAAACCATCAACCAAGTTAGACATCATGTCTCTCACACGACTTCCTAGAACCCCCCCCCCACCCTCTTTCAACATACCCACCCACTGTATATCCGTAATCTAAAAATCGTTTTATTTTCGAGTTTCTTCCCCAATTACGCCGAAGATCGGAGAAATGTTTGTACGCGGCGCGCGCGACCAATGGGTCTCTGGCGTTCGTTTAGTGGATATTTTGCCGAGCTACACGAAAAAAAAGTGAACCAAGAGGAAAAATCAGGAACCTCGCGAAGGGTTCTTATTTACAAGGAAACGAGACAAAACGAAACCCCCCGTTATTTCCGGTAAATATCCCAAGGACCCCTTCAAGACGTCTCCGCCCCCCGAATAATTGACACTGATTAAGACCTGAACAGAGAGACCCGAGAAAACGCGACATTTCAATTGCTAAGAAAGCTTCGTTGCTCGAGGCGCGGCTAATTAAAGGGAGTTTTAATAAATTAACCGGCCACGATCCCCGTGTACACCGTTCCCGATTCTTCTCCCTGATTCGCGCACGGAAAATACACGTTAAACGCGCGCTCCGCCAAAGAAACATCGCTTGCAAATATTTCTCCGATCCTAGCAGAATAGGCTTGTTTCTCGGTCACGAGATTCCCCCAAAGTAGCGCGCAGCAACCGATCTTCCCGATCGACTCTCAAGCGGCGTTCCGGATTCTCTCGCTGCAAAAAGGAGGGTCGCACCAGGCAGAGACACCGGGCGATAAGATTCTCCCGGAGAAACTCCGCCATTTTTCCCCCTAGGAGATTTTCTCTCCATTTACTCTATATCCCCGGGTATACATGTGGCCTTCCACTACGTTTTGGGTCACACACGCCAGATGCGCGCGTCACCTACGAATCTTGGCGGCGAAACTCAGGCAAACGAAACGGCCGCCTCTCGTGACCGATTATTTACGACCGTGGACAAGATGATCGAGTGTAGGGGACGACTGGCTCGCGTTCGATTAATTTCGCGTCTTATGCAGACGGCCTCTCACCGCGGACCGTAAAGTCTCGAGGGCCCCAGATCTCGCGACGATATTTATGGCCCTTCTTCTCCTTTGTGAATCTCGCTCGAGTGCAATTGCACCGGCTCGCGGAAACACCGCCCCCCTCCTTCTGGGTCCATAAATCTCGATATTTTTCAACAGGCGCAACTTGTAACCGTACACAGAGAGCTCTTTGCACAGCCACACGAAATGTATGGTAGTTGACGATTTCTCTGATGTTACCTACACACTCTGTTCACCGTAAGAATAACCTTGTTTCGTGCGCACTTGTTTCTTTGGCGTCGGTAACGCCACACGCTTGGGCTATACTTTTAACCCTTTTCACTCCATTGTCACACTCAGAAGGGACAACATGTATGGGGAATTAGGAAATTCCGAGTGCAAAGGGTTAATTGGTAGGACGATCGGCAGGGATAGCGGCTTACGAGTAGGCAGTAGTGGAAGACGCGCAAATCGTTAGGTTATTATTACGGTGGACAGTGGTGATGGCGACACATTTGAATTGTATCGACATTTGGTGACGATACATATTGATACCCAGAGTATCGATATACACATGTATATATGGGGAAGAAAATGTCAATATTATCGGCTAACGATACTTGCAATTCAATTAAAAGCAATAAAATCCAGAAATGAAAATAAATCATTTATTTAAGCGGATATTTACCAAGGCAGATTCTCAGATAACATCGTGTGTGCGTGGAAAAGAAATCTACCAATCGCAAAAATGGGAATCTCGCAATTGGTACATTTTCCTTACGACCTGTTACATTACGGCAAATGTAGCGATTGTCTTGAAATTTCGATATTTATGGGTTAAGGTATCGATACTGGAATATATCGTCACATTAAATATCGATACTGTATCTCCCATCACTAGTAGACAGAGTTTACACCGGAAATTAAGGGAACGCGTGTGTCCGAGTCAAGTCCCACTCTCACTCACTCACTCGCTCACTCAGTCACTCAGTCACTCAGTCACTCAGTCACTCACTCACTCACTCACTCACTCACTCTCATTCTCTCTCTCCCTTTCTCCCTCTCTCTATTTCTCTGTTTTGCTCCACGAGTCTGTCTCTCGTTAAGTCTTGCCTGCGTTTCATCGTGTTTAAATGCGGACTTTGAATGGGTCCCAGGCGTTCGAAAGAAAATAACTATATAATGAACAAATTGTGTATACGAGAGAGGCGGTGTATGATCGATAGATGGCTCGCTTGAAGGCCACACAACCTTGTATGTGGCTCCGTCGATCGCAAAACGAAACGTGAGCTTAAGCGAAGTCAAATATGTACCCCGAGAAACGAGAAATATTCTCAGACGTTACTTGAGCTCACGTTTTACGGTTGCTATGATCACGAGAATAATCAGTATACGAATTCTGTCTCCGTTCGGACGATCGACGATTGTAATCATCGCGACTCTTTAGTTTGTTCGCCAACCTCGCTAACGAAAATCATCCGTCGATTGTTCCCCCCGCGAGCTGAGAAAAGCTCGCGCGGATCCAAGGCTCGGCTTCTCCGTGTTCATCGCACGGACAAGCGTTACCGCCTTGGCAGACCTCCTTTTTTTCGTGGTGGTCTTTGTAACCATTTGGTTCGTGCAGGGTGAATCTCCTCGGCGTCTCAAGGACGGTGGTTAAAGAACAAATAAAAAAGAAAGAAATAGACGTGGAGAACAATCGATGTTGCGCAACCGAATCGAGCCGAGAAGCAGACAAAGCCCGTTGCGCACCTGGTTGAATCGTACAGGTTTTCGTGGACCGAACTAAATATTTGCGAAAGTCATCGATGTGATTTGTAATGAGAATTGTAAGATACTTGTCAGCTGATACCAATAGTCTGGAGGGTACGTGATGCGTTAGAAATTGTTGTACGAGTTCGTAGCAAGTGCGAAACAGGCTTTACTCGTCGACTCGCGAGCCGCATCTTTAATCAACCGTTCAGGGTTAGATGCAGTTTCACGCCCACGTGTTCTCCTCTCTCGGATCGCTATCGTTTCAGATGCACACGTTACGTTACGTTACGTCACGCGTGATCTAAGACGACCGGCACGACGAACGAACGGAAAAACAGAAAGAAAAAAAATAGCATGGAAAAATAAATCATTCTCGCGTGCGGGTCTCAGCGATAATTGCGGGAGACGATGGAAACTTCCCAGTTCAGGAACCAAATGTGTGTGCGACGACGGCGCGTTTCGTTGTGCACGTGCATGGAATGTGTACATTATTGTTGCCACGAAACGATACGAGAAACGAATCTCAACGTCTGTCGTCATCTTGACCACCCTTTCGCCACTTTGTAACGATCATGGTCACTTGATCGAAATTTTAAACGTGTGAATTTTGTTTTCCTTTTTAACGTGACACAATAAGTTAAGATATTAACAGTTCTAGTAAGTAATAACCATGCAGAACTTGTTGGCGAAAGGGTCGATGACTTCAGAAGCAAAAAAAGATCGAATAATGTATATTTTTCATCCACGCACGTTTCGTAACCTCCCTAAGTAATTCCACGGCTAATGGGGGTACACACAACCGATCGGCACAGGGATCGAATCGACGTGCCGAAATCGAAACTAGCGTATTAGCGTAAGAACGAAGCGAGAAGGTGTCGTGAAAACGTATCCATTTAGGTTCGCTAGCTTTCCAAGCGGTCCATGTGCCACCATGTTTTCACGGTGTCGTTCTCACGATCTTCTTCGGCCTAACACTCGAAACGTTTCTCGCCCCTTCTGTTCTCTGCTCTCGAGAAAGCGACAAAGACGAGAAGAGTGGCTGAGAGAACGAGACTGATGGAATAAACAGAATCGACGCGGAACGGACGGAGCAACAGCTTACCTGACTCCTCAGTTTGGTGATATTCTGGCCACCTTTGCCGATTATCGAACCGGCTACCTGCAACAGAAAATTAACGTTCTAATAATATCTTAAACAATATTTCTTTCCCTTCTTCGTACACAACGTGCGCTAATCGTTTCGTGTAATGCGTACACTTAAGCACGTTTCTGCGTGCACGAAGCCAAAAAAAAAAAAAGGCTAACGTTCCTTGTGCATCGCAATCGGATGGAGATCAGAAAGTAAGCGGTGGCCTGGAGTGCTGGATCGTCGAGAGATCGACCTCGACACAAAAGCCAGAGCAAAAGGGTTTAATCTCGACTCGTGTCCCAAATTTAATTCCCTCGTTTCACGTATCTCGCAACCGCGCACGGATTAATTTTTCGTGGGAAACGAGGACCCAGGGGAGGACGAAGAGTACAGAAACGTTAGGCTGCTGGAAGGTCGATCGATTCGAACGATTAGCGGCGATAACTTGCACAGAGATGTTGCAACAACCGCTGAGGAACAAACATTCACCCGCCCGTGATAATTGCATTCCCCTCCGATGGTGGTCGAGCAAGTAAGTTCGCTCTCTCGAAAGGAGTGATCGACCGTCGATCGTGCCAGGCGGACGGATCGACCCTGACACAACCGTTTTCGCCGATGGGATCCCGATTGCGTGGCCACTATACGCGCTTCGACGACGATCGAGCATTGTGCTGGTCGCTGGTGCACGAACGTTTCGATCCCCCCACCCCGGGAACAGTGGACAAATTTTTCTTATAGTTCTTTCTCCGTTTCTGTTTTCCGTACCGTTATTTGTTATTTTATCGATAATTACGCATTTCTTTCTATTGTACATAATCATAACTTTCTGTATATTCTTGTAAATACTTTTGTAAATTTTCTTGTTGCCGTTTATTTATGTAATTCTTTATACAGTCCTGTAAAATGTTTCATGAACTTTGTTAAACTTTCTGTACAGTTACTACAGTCTTTGTATATCTGAACTTTTCGTTTGTCCTCTAGACGTACATATACTTGTATATTATAGAGAAAGGTTCATAACCCGTTTATAAATAAATATTATTATTATTACTAAAAATTATTCGAGCCTCGACGGACCGTCTATTCTTTGTATACATCGGTGGTCTTTTGTGTGCTGCAATTTTTACCAGTCTTTCACAGGGAATTCGATGACACTCCCAAGCGCAAAGAATGGCGAACCACGTTCACTTTGTGTAAGTTGCTTCGCCGCGGCGAAACGAGTCATTGTTAGCAACTTCTGAAAAAAAGAACTGTGAGGGAGGGGACCGTTGGAATTTTCCCGGGCAAAAGAAAGTCGAAGGAAACCCGATAACGGTTCACCGAACGTGGCGACAATGACCGGAAGAGAACGTGCTGCCGCTGCCGCTGCCACCGCACGAGGTTTCGCGTACGCGCGAGCAGGCCAGCTTTTACAGTAACACCGTATCTTCCGTGTACAGCGACGAAAAGGTTGTATGGAGGAACAACAGAAGGTGTATCGTGAGAAAGGCAATGCATCTATGGAGACGTTGCACGCGTCTTATCTGAATAGGAAAAGCGGCTACGGAAAGTTCCTGTGGCGTTTTATTAGGAGATTTTCAGGGGAAACAAGGCTCGATATATCGTCATTGGGGGGTGGCTGCAACGGACAGAGATTAATTTCTTTAAATTGGATCTCGTGTATGTGTAGTAATCTCGAGGATCGTGAGAAGAGATCGCTCCTTGAACCATTAACCATCGGATACGGCTTGTGGAAATCTCTTTCGAAATTCTAAAACTGGCTAGAAATTGGAAAGTGTACTCAGTTTCACCAGAAGTTAGAAAGTACTCTAAGCGGGTTTCTCCTCTGCGCGGTTCGAATTTGCATAAGAGACGACCCGGTCGGATCTGTGGATATGCCACTTTGAAATATACGATGTGTCTGTTTAACAATCGATTCCTTCTCGTGGAATTCTTATTATTTAGGTAAATAGGATGTAATCGAAAGTACACATTACTCTTAACCAAGGAGATCCTTTGTAATAAACATTGATTTCAGTTTAATTCCTGTCGTTGCACGATCTACACAGAAGATACCAAGACCAGATCTGACGATCTTGTGAACTCGCTGACAAATCGAAGTTAAGAAGTGCTCCGACGCGAACACCAAAACTCGTCGGTTCCCAGCCATTCGAGTGCATGATCGTAATTACTCGCAGGAAAATAGTAAGGCCTTACCTTGCTGGGGATCAGTAGACGAAGTTCCTCGTCACCCTGTCTGTAACGCTTGTGAGGACTAGTCGGTCCTCCGGAGCCTGTCATAGCGCCTGCATCAGCTTCTCTCTTCATTCTTTCTGCAACAGAAACGCGAATCGATCATCAATCACCTTGATTCGAATTCTCCGTGTTTCAAAGTAAAATATTTCAGTCGAGACCGTTTAACCCCGTTTCACGATCAGTGTTATGCCATGCCGTCACGATCGCTTGGTATCACGAAACTCAATGTAAGTACGATACAAGTAGAAAATGTTATAAAATTTCTCGCAATTTTGATATTGAATGAAATCCAATGAATGAATCTGACCGTCTTATAAAGGATAATGTACTCTTTACTAAATGTTCGAACTTCTTATATTACCATCCGAGTAGAAACTTGTATTACCTCGCGACACGATGGAATATTATTTCATTATTACACTTTATTCGAGTTTAATCGGATAAATGTTACTCGTCCTCAGTTGTATGTACAGCACGGGGAAATGTCTTGTTCGCGAAGAGCTCGTCGACCTTTCATCGATCATCCGGGTTAAGCCGTGGCCCCGGCCAAGATGGGTGGCCCCGTTTAATAACTTAGTAATTAATGAGCTCCGGCTATACTTCGACTTGATCTCTTGAACTCTTTCTCGACTGGCTTCCACTAATTCTCCCGTAATGTTGGACAAGTAAAACTGATTCATGCACCCCTTGAATTTTTCACCTGCTCGCACCCCTTTCCCCTTTTTCTCCTCGTTCTACGATATTACCCGTGTTATGCATGCACCCGAATGTTTCGACTAAAAAGCTCTCTTTCACTGTTATCGATGGATTTATAAATAAACAGATACCGTTAAACTCTGTAAACCGAACGTATTGAACAAATAAAGCTCCGTCGTACCGTTTCAGAGCTGATGTTCGCGGTTTCGCTCTAGGTCTCGGCCAGAACACGTATTCGAAACGTCGATACGCGTTTAATCCTTTAACACCCAGTGTTGTATCGGTGCAGCACTCATTTTAAAAGTGTGCCAAATTCTGTCATCGGTTAATATTTCATTTGTGTCAGCAAGGATGCGTAGTTTCACCGATGTGAAGTAGATCTCCAGGTTTTCGGTTGAAAAATTCAAGTATTCCCGCCAAAAATAAATAAATAAATAAAAAAGGGAAGAAGAAATTGACAAAAAAATAGGTCTATTTAATATCGATATTTTCGACTTGAAAATGACAAGATACAACATATATGTACATGTCGGTGTCGTAATTTTGAAATAACGATTCAAGGATCTGGGCGTTAAATGGTTAACCCAGACCTCCTCCGCGAGTATCCACCGCGCTACATATTCCAATATACATACAATACCGGCCGATAGTCTGGCGGCGGCTCTCTTAATAAAAGCTTACGCAAGAACTCTCATTTGGCAATAAAACGCGTAGTAAAGAAGTCGTAAAGAGCGCGTTTTAAACGACGAGCCAGCCAGCTTCGAAACCGCGATAAGATTACGAGAGTAACGTTATGACGTCATAGGGGCAGGGGAGGTAGTAGCGGTGGAAAAACAGCGGTACTCTGGAACTAGTACGGGGCGTCGTAAAGAGGCCAGATTCCCAGAGCCTAGATAAGAAATTCCGCAATTACGCGTCGATGATCTATCCGTGATTCGCGATTTCTTTCAAATGAACAGCAACGACGATCTTCGATGAGACCGATTCGAGTTTACTTCAAACGTCTGGTTCGAGTTGAATAGAATTTCGTGTAAAAACTTCGGACAGAAGTGTTAAAACCCTTGCATTCCGAAATTATGTAAAAATTACCAAACACATATTTTCTTGTACGAAGAACATTTTATAATTTCGAAACCGTCTGATGCCGTTTTTTATTCGTTGTCATTCACCGCCTTTTTTACTTTCATCACAGTTATACATATTGTATAATAATTCACGTTATAATGTGATTATATAAAAATATGCGATTAAATAATAAAACCTAATTTTTCTTACCTTTGATCGATAAACCCTCTTGAAATATTTGAAAGAAATTAGTGTTTTGTAAGTTTCTATTGTATTTGTGAAAATGCTCCACACCTGAATTCCATCCAGAAACTTTTAAATACACATACAAATCTGTACTACACCATCTATAGAAGATTAGAAGAAACTATTATATACTCACAAATACGAAGAAATACATGACACTAATATTTTATTTCGTAATTCAGAATACGTAACAATCTGGTAACAGTGGGAACGAGAGGGTTAAACTATAAATGGAGAACGCGATCAATCGAGCTGTCAGTATCGATCGTCGACCAGCGATGGAAATTCACGGGCGGATCGTCGATCGTTGGGTGGCGCGCGCGGAAAAATTCCTCTCGGCCTCTGGTACGGTATTTGTCGCCTCGAAAACGAAGCGGAACGTGACGGCGACGATCGCGCTCGTGCAGCTATAAACGCGATGACACGCGTTTAGCATAGAAATCGGGGTCGCTTGAGTCGCATACCGAACAACTCGCCTCGAGTCAACAATGAGAATAACCCCCCTGTCGTCGCACGAGACCCACAACGCGTCATCGTTACATGTTAATTGACGTTCCCGATAAATTGCTCGTGACATTGGCGCTGGTAGGTTGTTCCGTAGATACGACAAGAATATTTGTTGGTTACACGTTTATGATAACGATTCCCACGAATTTCTGTTCCACTGATAAAGAAACCGTATGCCCTTCTCTGGAACGTCGAGCACGAGGCAGTAGAAGTGCTGCAACAACTGAATTTCGGGACAGCGATCGTAGTCCAATCACGACGACGCATTGAGCAGCCCGTAAATCGCCCCGAGCATACTAATTACAGTACGAGCAGTGATTGTATTCTTTCGATGCGTGGACCGAACGGAACGTGGATCGATGAATAACGGTCCTCGATGATGTTTTCTAAGTAAGCAAAATCCGAATTGTACCGTGTATGGTGTTATTTTAATCGGAAAAATTTCACCGATATTTAAAACCCTTTAACGCCTAGTATGACGTACGCGTCACACCTGGAAAATTATATTTCCAGGGACTTTGTTGTGATTGAAGTGCCGTCTGGGACCATTTCTGAGTTTACATAATTTCTTTCAAAGGGTTAACGAAATTTTCATCGATAAAGAACCAAAAATAAACAAGGTTTTATCAAGCCTCAGACCTGTTACAATACTCGTTCGATCGGTTCAAAAGAGGACCCGTCCAGTAGCCGGAGATGACTAGCGAGCAGTTAACCTGGAGTTCTTTACGAGCACTTATCGAGACTCTACTGTAGGCGATTTTAGGCCAACATGGACGATAATTTCGATTCGTACAGAGAGACGGTTAATCGTGAACGAACCATAAACGATGCACGTTGAATCAAGCGTAAAACCGAATTCTCGACGACGACGACGAGAAAGTCTCGCCTGGAAATTGAAAGGACGAACGACGCTCGTTCGGAAAAAGGTACGTGCGGACCGGACAGACGAATCGATACTCGAGACCGTTCGCGGCGACGGCGTCGGCGGCACGCGACGTTAATAATTTACCACGCGGCGATTCGGGGGACGGAACGGTGACCCGTGGCGCGCGATTCCTCGTTTCGATTTCATTGCGGTCGCGGGAAGAGCCGGCACGGGAGGGGAAAAAACGGCTGTAAGAAAACCACGTCCGGCCGGAAACCGGGTTTATTCGCGGTTCGTTAAAAAATCACGTCTCGCGTCACGAAAACAAGCTTCTCGATCGTTAACGGGAGTTTATGAATCGATAGTTGTCGATAAACAGCGCGAACCTACAACGTGAAATCCTGTGACCACGAGCAATAAAAAGATCGTTGCGAGGAAACCCGAGGGAAAAAACAGTTTCTTGGTTCAAAAAGAAAATTTCGTAACTGCACGGGTACATTTTTCACGTAACCGTATACGAATGATTTGAACTATACACACAGCGCAAGGTGGAGTGTTCAGCAAAAAATGCGAATAAAGCTATTAGACGAAACACTTTAGAAAAACGGCGCGGTCCCATTCTTTATTCCTGCTCGTGCTCGAGGAACGATGAATATTAATGCCGGCCCAGGCGCTCTTTCGCGGTGAATTCGTTCGGCTTTGACAACGTTGTTTACCTGCTTCGCTCGCAAGTTCCGCCCTCTTCCCTGGTCCCATCGTCCGATTATCGACTTTCCGTTAAAAACGCGGAAGCAATTTTCCGACGGCGGGGGGTGGGGGCAAAACGATGGTCGAACAAGGAGAAACTTGTTCGTCCTGTCGATGTTTTCCAAAGGATAACTCGATGAATTCTCGCCGAGGACTCGTGATCGATCACGAGAGAACGATGAACGATCGACGTATAAGGTGTGTGTGGAATTTTTCTCCCTCCCTCTCTCTCTCTTTATCCCTCCCTCTGTTTTGCAGGGAACGTTCGAGACGCGTATGAAATATTTACCGAACGATTTCGCGCGCCTTTGACACGATTCTGTCGACGCGATGAATTGAATTCGGAGGACGAGACGGGAACGTGGACGCACGCAGGCCGTTAAACTTTCAGACTGTCTTGTCCATCGATAAAAATACAAAATGTACACGTTTTCTTTAATCGACAAATAAACGTTTACAGTATTTTCCAAGAAGTAACACCATACCTGGTGGAAACCCTTGCTTATAGTTAGTGATCGTTGTCCACGGATATACGCGTCCAGGGGGAAAAAAATGATTTATTCTTACAACCGCCCTTCCACGGCCATGTATTCAACAAACTGGCGACGTGCGTGACCAGGCGATGTCGTGACACGAACTCGAAAGGACCTCCTACGTTTCCTGGCCACCCCGCCATTACCAAACGGGGCGAAACGTGGAGGGGGTGGTGGCGGCGATGGTGGTGACTGTGATGGTGAACACAGTCGATCGTCGTGCTCGTGGGGAGAAGACGAATGATAAAATAACGGGGGTGGGATCGTTTTTCCGCGTGGCGCGTATTAATCGTCTGGATGAAACCGTTCAAAGTAATCTGTCTTTCGACACAATTCGAAACCACTATATTCATACGATATCGAAATTACCATTAGACAACACCTAAAGAAATACCTCTGAAAAAAGGTTAAGTTTACC